AAATTGGTCAAGACAAGTGATGCAGTGCTAGAATTTACCGGTCTACTATCTTTACGTAATTTTTAGGTCAAGTTCTAAAGGTTCAAAAGAAATTTTTAAAAAGAAAATTAGAGAGATTGATGGGTAACCTTTTTGAGCTACCCTAAACGAACCAAGATTTTATCCCTTCTAGATTGGGCTACACAAATTCAATAAACAAGGTATGTTTTTCGATAAGCAGGGTAACGTAACTATAGAAATTAAATTAGTTATTACCCTACTATTAAAACGTCGGAGCACAAAAAAAGCCACAAGGTTTAAATGCAAGCAAATATTTTCTTTTCACAAACAAGTAAGCATGCGTTCAAACAAAATTACAGAAATTACCATTTTAGAAGTAAAATAAAGCTTTCAATTCTAAAGAGAAGTTCCAAAAAGAGAAACTTTGTAATTGAAGAAGTCAAACTTAAAGTATCGAGTTGAAACTTATTTTTAAAAAAAACCGTTACGCGAGAAACAAAAGTAAAGATTCAACGAAAGGACGAAAAACGAAACATAAGGGAGAAACCCAAAAACGTTTGATACAAAAAAGCCACAAGGTTAACATGCAAGCAAATATTTTCTTTTCACAAATAAGTAAGCATAGATTCAAACAAAATTTTGGTAATTTACATTTCAGAATTAAAATAAAGATTTAAAGTGCAAAGATAAGTTCCAAAAAGAGAAACTTTGTAATCGAAGAAATCAAACTAAAAGTACCAAGTTGAATCTGAACAATGAAAAAAGAACCGTCTAGCCCGAAAAAAGCATGAATACAAAAGACTAATAAATCGTTCAGAACAAGCAAAAACTGCGGTGTTCATAAAATCGAAAGGATGCAACCAAATATATACGTCTAGCCCGCAGCAAAGATATTTTTTCGATAAGCAGGGAAACATAACTCTAGAACTTAGTTATAAGTCTACGATTAAAACGTCATAGCACAAAAAAAACAGCAAGGTTTAAATGGTAGAAATATTTTCACAAACCAGTAAGCACAAGTACATACAAAATTTAGGAAATTGAGATTTCAAAACTAAAATAAAGTTTTAAAGTGCAAAGTTAAGTTCCAAAAAGAGAGTACCAAGTTGAAATTCAAGTGTGAAAAAACAACCGTCCCTCGAGAAACCAAAATAAAGTTTTAAAGTGCAATTACAAAAAAGCCGCAAGGTTTAAATGCAAGCAAATATTTTCTTTTCACAAACAAGCATAAGTTCAAACAAAATTACAGAAATTGCCATTTCAGAAGTAAAATAAAGCTTTCAACTCTAAAGAGAAGTTCCAAAAAGAGACTTTGTAATTGAAGAAATCAAACTCAAAGCACCGAGTTGAAACTTAATGTTGAAAAATAACCGTTACACCAGAAACAAAAGTAAAAGATTCAACGAAAGGACGGGAAATGAAACGTCGAGAAACCTAAAAACGTTTGATAAAAAAAAGCCGCAAGGTTTAGATGCAAGCAAATATTTTCTTTTCACAAACAAGCATAGATTCAAACAAAATTTTGGTAATTTACATTTCAGAACTAAAATAGCATGTCAAAAGTTTTAAAGTCCAAATAGCATGTCAAAAGCATGAATACAAGAGAACATTCGAAAATAAAGAAATCCAACAAAAAGCATACAGTTTAAATGAAAGGATGTAAAATAAAGCGTCAAGAGAGAAGCCTAGAAATGTTTTATACAAGGAAACTGTGATTTTCAGAAAAGATTGAACGTGCAACAAACTATAAGGGTCCAGCTCACAAAAAAGTTAGTTGTTTTCAATAAACTGGGAGAGGCAGCTCTACAACTCAATTAAAAGATCAATATTAACGGCAGAGCAAAACAAATCAGTTAGGGCTTAAAGCAAAAGAATATTTTGTTTTTTAAACCAGAAAACAAAGTTCAAACAAACTTAAGGAAGATGAACCGTGACAACAAAAATAATTGGAAACTCCAAAAAGGATATTTGATGAATTGATGAAGAAGAAAGTTTCAAAATCAAGGAATCCAATTAAAAGTGGTACAGCCAAATTACGATTTTCATAAAATCAATAAGATGCGACCAAATGTAGATGTCCAGCTCGCAACCAAAATATTTTTTTCGATAAAAAGGAGGCGTAACTATTTAATTTAATTATAAGGCCAAAGTTAAAACGTCATAGCAAAAAAAACCATAAGGTTTAAATGCACACAAAAATGTTCTTGTCAAAAACTATTAAGCATAAATTCAAACAAAATTTAGGAAACTGGGATTTCAGAACTAAAATAAATATTTAAAGTCCAATGAGAAGATAAAGAAAGAGAAACTTTGTCATTGAAGAAATCAAACTAAAAGTACTAAATTGAAACTCAAGAACGAAAAAACAGTTGTCTCTCGAGAAACCAAAATAAAGTTTTGAAGAGACTAAATAGCATGTCGAAAGCATTAATACAAGAGAACTTTTGAAAATAAATAAATCCAACGAAAAGCTTAATGTTTAAACAATAGGATAGAACATGAATCGTCAAGGGAAAAACCTAGAAATATTTGATACAAGGAAAACTTGACTTTCAAAAAAGCTTCAAGGTGCAACAAAATGCATGGGCCCAGCTCACAACAAAGTTATTTGTTTTCGATAAACAAGGAGACCAAAATCTACAACTCAATTATAAGAGCAAAATAAATCAATTAGTCCTCAATGCAAAAGAATATTTTGTTTTTACAAACTAGAAAACAATGTTCAATCTTTTCACGAACTAGTAAACATAAATACATACAAAACTTAAGAAATTGAGATTTCAGAACTAAAATAAAGTTCTAAAGTCCAAAGAGAAGTTCCAAAAAGATAGTACCAAGTTGAAATTCAAGGGTGAAAAAACGAACATCACTCGAGAAACCAAAATAAAGTTTTAAAGTCCAAATAGCATGTCAAAAGCATTAATACAAGAGAACTTTCGAAAATAAAGAAATCCAACGAAAAGCATAAGGTTTAAATGAAAGGATGGAAAATGAAGCGTCAAGGGAGAAAATTAGAAACATTTCATACAAGGAAACCATGATTTTTTATAAAACCTTCAAGGTGCAACAAAATGCATGGGTCCAGCTCTCAATAAAGTTATTTGTTTTCGATAAACATGGAGACCCAACTATACAACTCAATTTTAAGCTCAAACTTAACGTAAGAACAAAATAAAACGGTTGTCTTCAATGCACAAGAACATTTTGTTATCATAAACCAGAAATCAAAGTTCAAACAAAATTAAGGAAGACGAAACGTGACAAGCGAAAAAATTGGAAACTCCAAAAAGGATATTTGAAGTATCGATGCAAAATGAACGTGACAAAGGAACACCAAACTCTAAAAATCCAACCAAAAGTACCAAGCTAAAGCATAAGAGTTCAAATAGAGCTTCAGTCCAAAATCTAGAGAATGTATTTATGGATAAAAGGAAGCACCAGCTTGTAAAAAGCCAAAAAAAAAAGTAATAAGGTAAACATTTATAATCCAAATACAAGTGTCCAGGAAGAAACCAATTCAGTGTTTTTTGGGGGAAAACGAATTACAAATTAAAAGGGTCACGCGTGAACTAGAATATCATATTTCTGAGTACCAGATTTAAAAAAACCAAATCTAAATTTTCTGAATCCCAATAAAAGTATCAAGGATGATACCAAGTAATGACAAAACAAATCGTAATTTTTGGATAATAAATTAGAAATACCAAATTAAAGCTTTAGAATGCTGATAGAAGTGTGAAGCAACAAATGATTAAAAAAGAAACATCAACTTTAATAAAAGTAGGCATATAGAACTGAATCTGTTTAGTCCAAATAGAAGTATCCAGTAAGAAACAAGTAGTATTTGTTGGGCAAAGGTAAAAAACACTCAATACCAAATTAATTGCCATGCAAGAAACATATTTCAATGAAAAGGAACTTCATAAGTACCAAAGTAGAGTCTCAAAATCCAATCAGAAATGCAGAATTAAAGCTTTAAAATACAAGCAAAAGCATCGAACACACAAAACTTAACATCAAATTCTGAACAAAAAACAATTGTAGGTTACAAACTGAACATGTATAATCCATATAAATGCATCGATTAACAAATCAAGAAATGTTATTCAAAATAATCAAGGGATGTTACTCAAAGTTTAGAATACCAAAAAAGTATCAAGCAGAGAGGAGGAGAATGTTTGTTGCCCTTTGTATTTTAAAGCTTCTAAATTGGTAATTGTAGCAGGTTTTCCATTTGTCTTCCTTTCTAGAAAAAAAAAACTTATCTTGGTACCCTTTAATAAATTGGTTCTGCTAGGTATAAGCTGATAACGGAATTTTACAGTAAGAAATTTGCAAATATCTGAATATATATCATCAATGTACTATTGTACTTGAAAGAAATACCACATACATGAAGAATGCAAATTAATTTGTCATTCCCAGTGTATTGAAATTTCCAAATTCGCATGCCCCTAACCACAGACACAGATTCACATCCCCCCTCCCCAACACACACACGGACAGAAAAACACAATCCCAAAAAATCATTCATTACAAAGATAAATTAAAATTAATTTAGTAGTTTCCTATTATTTTTTTAAAGGTAAATCTGAGCCATAGTTGCCATTAGCAATATTGAGTATCCCAACCTATTATTGCCATGTTATAGAAGCAAGGCAACAGGACATCATTGTATTAACAAATACAAGAATAAATAACCCAAAAATTTTAACTTGTAAACAAATGTACAATTCATTCTACTCTATGCCATCATTTTAACATGAAATTAGCAATCACTTACTGGTTGTGCAGACCATAACTTGCTCATGATAAGATTGTAACAGCTAATAGCATTTTTTAGGGGATATCCTAGTTTTTTTAATAAAACACAGGACAGAATCATACGAATCAAATATATTAATAACAGTAAAGGGAGAATATGTACAAGAATTACACACAAGGCATTTACGAAGAAAATAATGAAAACCAGATTTTCACCAGTATAAAATAAAACTTACGCTTGGAATAATGGGCACAGCATCTGTTAATGGTATAATGCCCTCTCATTACTTCTTGTGTGGGATTTAATAAACAACGTGGGTCAATAAAGTGTTTGTCAAGTGCCAAAACCTGCCATATGTTCCACATAATATCATTCAAATATTTGCTTTCACCTGAGCAAATAGCCAACCAGATTAAGAAATCTCTACTTCAATTAAATGCAGAGCGGAGCAAATAGATTCCATTACTCTTAAATATTTGACTTTGTCTTGGAAATGCTATTAGCTCATATTATCATAGATAGTTTTTTTTTTAACTAAACTATATATCAGAGATTAGAAATGCGCATTTTACTAAAGTTTGTTGTTGGCTACAACTACGATTTGCAAAGCTCAACGAACTGTCATTTTAGTGTATTTTGCTCTTGGAAGGTACAGCCTGCTAGTTTCACCAAGAACTGTCATATTTGTTTTGAAAGAATTGCTTTTCTACCTAATAAAATACCCATGCTAAGGCTATGGTGCCGTTTGATAATGCAAACCAAACAAATAAAATGATTATATATTGTTCTGATTCCTAAAAATAATATCTATAGAAAGTGTACCGTTCCTTAAAATAGAATATAAAGAAATGGATTTCTATAGGATATACATGCATAGCAATCAAACTTAAATTAAATAAGCCAGTAATTTGCATAATTTACATATATTGAATTAGTGAAGTGAGCATTTGGATCTACCTGCACTGTCTCAAGATATCAACAAAGTAGGCATCTCTAGTACACAGTCTCATCTCGCCACTGCAAAGAAATAAAGTTAAATAAAGGAACAGACAAAGGTGAAAGGAAAAAAATCGTTAAATGAAGTCCAATCTCAAAATACTCTACCTCTTCCTTGCTGTCTCCTCAACCCTTAAACTTCACAAAAGAACAAGAAATCCTAAAACCATCACAGTTTCTGCAAACTGGAAAAGCAGGCCGTTGTATGATCTTCTCATATTGTGTTTTATTTCCTATGACCAGCGTAGTGTCACACGCCAAAACTTGTTTCTCACCTCCCATGACCTGATGTCACCAATGCAGTGCACCTCGATGACAAAGAAGATATACGACAATACAGTCCGGCTGCTGGTTGCACTCAAGCTCTCACATGGAAGGCTCTATATGATCAGATCAATACTTCTGCTTCTGCCCCTTGTCCAATCTGGGAATTTGTGTAGAAGAATTCAGCCCCCCTCTGAGTTCAACAACTTGTGCCTGGCTTATCTTCAAAAATCGACTACCAACAATGACAAATTTGCTTGTGAAGAACATGGTGCAAACGGTAAAATACGAAATATGCTTGCATCAAGACGAAGACAGCGATCACTTATTCTTCAAGTGCTCCTTTGCTGAAGTTTTCAGCGAATCAACGTTTTCCTATTAGGCACAGAAAAGAAAAGAGAAACTTTATGATACATATAGTAGAAATGTGAAATAAAAAAAATAACTCTTTGTGGGTAATCCAAAAAAACACTTTGGTGAAATGAAAAAACGATAATTTATAACACATTCTGATCTTTTTACACGTCAAGTGTTATTCGGGCCATTTCATGAGATAAACCAGTAGCTCCTAAAAACATATGAACAATTATATTTAGATGAATAATAGCATTCCGTGGATACTTTCTGAACGCTAGCAATATACATCTAGCAGGCTAGAATAAATATATGCATACACCGAGTAAAAGAGATTAGTGTAAATTGAGATAAGCATCTTTCATAAATGAAAGAGAGCAGAGCATAATCCATGTGAAAAACTGAAAACCATTCAAAAAATGGAATTGAATGATAACTATTAAGCCTTTTTCTTTGCACGGATTCAGCACGAAATGCAGCACAAAAATTGCACATAATGGCACAGGAGGGAGAGGATACCGGGAGTGCATTCGGCAAACCTGCACAGGGTCGCTTTCAAGGACGACGTCGAGGAAGCCGATGGATGATCGCAAGCTGAACCGGTTTGACATTCACAACGGTGGCGCACCGTGCGCTGGATCTGCACATGACGGAGTTGAGGAGGAAGATCCAATGACGAAGTGCACCAGGTGACGGACCTGCACCTTCAGGGCCGGGTGGAACAGATCAGCGAGGCAGCCACAGGTTGAAAATTATAGTCAGTACAGGTTGTGGTCAGATATTTACTGAGAATCCTAAATATTATACATGTTGTTACAAGCATTTCTCCAGGTGGAACAGATCGGTGAGGCCACCACAGGTTGAGAATTATAGTCAGTACAGGTTGTGGTCAGGTATTTACTGAGAATCCTAAATACTATAGATGTTGTTACAAGCATTTCTCTTAGCAATCAGTGTACCAACTGTAGTTCACATCCTTGTTCATTTCATTATATCAAACAAATTCTGTAGGTGCGATAACGAGATGAACTGTCCACTACTGTAAATAATCTATATTATAATGTAATCATCCATCAATTTGCCAATGATGCCGGTAACAAGTAAAAGATTTATTGAAACAGCCAAAATTTAACTGTGTAAATTTGGCTAGCATCATTTACTTGACATTGTATTTCAGACTATGTTTTACAAATCTCACAGGATTACAAAACATAGACCAATGAGCAATACGAGCAAAATTACTAGAGCTGTGGACAAAATTAGCCTGACATGCAACCAAAAGTGCAAACCTGAGTTTTTTTTAAAAAAAAGAAAGAAAACGATCAGAGCAGTTTATATGACTTTTAGAGACTTGCTTTACATGAGTTAATCTGAACCTTGGTCACCGGAATTGCGCTGCATATGTACTTCTTTCGCAATCAGGAGTCAAGTTAAAGGTGATTGAATTTAAAACCCAGTTACAAACAAGATCCACCAGGGTTAAAAGAACAGAAAGTACAAAGGCACTCACAATTAGAGTTCAGTTCTTCGGTAATTTATCTCCAAGATTCAGTCTCACCGCACTTAATGGTGTGGCAGCCAGAACAATTTCCAATGCTGAGAAAAGGAAAATATTTTAGTAAATATTTCCATTATTAGAAGCTTTAATCAGTTGCTATAGGATATGTAGCGGTCATTGATATATTAACAGCTTGAAAATTTGTCTGAATTTATATTGATTGCAAAGCAACAAATTTGTGAACGAAAAAGGAAGTTAAAGCAAATTTATAAATTTAGACAAATGACCGAAATGACCTGTTCTTGCATTATGTGGGTGTGTTCAGATTAAAATGTCTTAGAAGACAGCATTAGAACAGGTTAGTCATTAAATGAAAAAGAAAATTTCAGAATAGGTTTGTCATCAAATCAAATAAAATGCTTCAGAAGGCAGCGACATATTTTATCAAATCAAATAAAATGCTTCAGAAGGCAGCGACATATTTTGATCTAAGGCATAAAATCCAAAACTACTTGAACTGTAACATTACTGATTTTAGCTAACGTCTCATACCATCCTACATACTAAGATTCATAACTTGCAGAGCTTTCCTCCCTCCCACTAAAGTACCATGACATGCAATACTGAAATCTACCATTACCAAAAGAAAACGAGAAGTGAAGAAAAGATCAAGTAGTCCAATTGAAGACATCACTGCGCTTAGCAACAATTGCTGAAAATATTATATCCTTCAACCAGATTTTTCCTGATTTTTGCTGAAAATATTATATTGACGATGTAGAGGAGGGGCTGCAAGAAGTTACCAATGAAATTGACCTTGCTAATCTGGCAATCCCCAAGCAGACCTGCTTTGTGGCTGACCATGTCGTTAATTCACATTCACTGCCTTGCAAAGCGTGGCCACCACTATGGCTGCAACAGTCATGGTCGTCCCTTGGGAGCAGGAACAGCTGGGCCCTGCCGACGGCGCCAGCACCCCTTGCAGCGGCCAAGCCTGCAGTACCAGCCGATGCCCTTGCCAGCACAGGAGGACCATGCAAGCAGCCCATATTTGTGGAGTTGGACGGTACAACAGCTCCCTGCAGTCCTGCACCTAGGGACGAACATGGAGTTGAGCAAGCTGACTAATTATGTTTCAATTAAGCCCGAGCAAAACTATAAAACAAAACCACACTGCAATATGAAAAAAACTACGGAGTAAAGCGTAGAAGTATCCAGCAGTGTGCCTATGTTATGTTTCCAGGGATCCTTTGGGACCCTGGGTAAATTATTAAATTCTAGCTAAATTACGCCATGTTAACTAGTATACCGGTAAATAGTTACATAATTCGTATGTATTGGACTCTTGGTATTTTTTTGTTCTGGGTTCATCACTGGAAATATCTATTAGCACAATGCAAGCACATGGGAAACAGTCGGTAGTACATGACGACCAACATCCATAGTACTAAGTGAAAGCATCATAATACAGAGGAGAAGATCAGAAGAGGCACCTTTGGTCTCCTCGACAATATTATGAAGTTTCTTTCTCTTGGCCATCTCTTCATAGTACTTCAGTTTAAGATCTTCACACTGCACAACTGCAGCAAAAAAAAATGCTTACAAACTTTTTCATCAAATACTCTAAAACCTTTACAATAATGCAACTGATGGATATAACCTAATGCTTGAACAGCTCCTACCATCTTACTCGGTTCAGGAACAGCGTTTGCATGGCCATCTTGCTTCAAGAGATAGCAATGTTTGCTCTTGTTTCATGACCTGAAAATTAAAAAGTGATATAATTAGTAAAACATAGCACCTCATGTATTTATCAATTCAGTAAATCTGCTTTTACCTTGATTTTATTTTCCAAGTTAGATATGGCAGCTGCCCATAATTTATTGGCATATTCGTACTTTTGGGAAACACTTCTCAGTTGATCAGCTTGTCTATCAAGGACTTGTTCTGTCAGGAATGTAAAACAGTGGTGAGCATACAGAAACATCTTATCTGAAAATTAGACCTTGAAGGAGTAAGTTGAATCTAATATATTGTGTCTTACCTGCTATTGCTACCGTTTTTCGAATACAAATGGCACAAACCATGGGACTTCCCCTTACTCCTTTGAAGTTTATGACAAAGGCACCGTCACTCTCAACTGTTACCCTAATATCACGCATATGAAGGGGTCTGTTACCTCCAACCACTGCATACACATCAAATTCAGACAAAATCTGTGCATCAATCAAAAGTCAAATTGTTTAGCTAAACCTGACAATAAATTGTGATACAAAATTAAGAGCCTCATGAATACTGTGTTTGCATTTTCTTCTAGCACAAGGACATCAAATGCTCTAATTCCTTCTGGCCCGTAAGTGTTCATTATCTCAGCAAATGCAGATCAAAGAAATAGTCTCCAGGAGCAAGACCATCGATTTTGTAGCTGGAATTTCCATATCGAACTGAGTGGTAAAGCGAAGGATAGTCACCTCTTCAAACTATATCCTCAGATGTCAATATTGCATCCCCTCCTTCAAAGAAAGAATCGTCAGAAAGCTTTGAAGAGGGTTCACAACCCTCAATTGCACTGCCACCGACATTAATGAACAGAACAAAGTCTCATCACAGGCACAAGAAGGATAATAAGAAACATTGTGGAACTATGATGACATGACCAATTAACATTTCGATAAGGTACTTCCAATTTTCAATTTAGAATTCAAGATTATGAAATATCCATTTTGGAAGCACATCACTGATGATGGCTATCGAAGCCCCTTCTACTCGATATTACTACAGCACCACAATTGATGCAACCTTGTACTCTGACATAGAAACAATCCTATTTTCTTCAACCAATCCAATGCCCATGACTTTAGTACTATATGATGTATTATCCATTCACTTTGAGAGCATCAAATGAGGCCAGCACACTGATCCACTTAAAAATAGTAGCTAACATGGCAGAGAATCAAGTCAATGAAGAACCCACAATTTTAAGAAGAGAAACATTACTCTATCAAATATTCAAATCTAGTCCACAGAACCTAAATCGACGCATAAAAGCTAGAGCAGTATGCAAATGATTCCACATATAGATGATTCCTGTTACATGGAGATACCTTATTAAGCTCCTAGCATACCACAACACCTGAAGGCCTCAAAATTGGATTACAACTTTGGCACCGATGTAGGTAAAGCACCAGAAAATACCAAATCTGGGTACATCCAACCTCCTAAATTTCCTCTGCCACATGCACACACGCACACACACAAGAAAAAATAAGAGCAAATTTGGAAGCAAACTTTCTAGGGTTTTCTACCAGAGTCAAATCGAGTACTCTAATTCGACCATCCTAAACGCTCATTTCCCAAAAACCCTTTCACGAACATGGTGGGAGGGTTAGGATTTAGGAATAGATCCTCACCTAGCGGCTAGAACCGCCATTGCTGACCAAATGCAGATTGCAGGAACCCCACAGCGGGAAGAGGGAGAGGAGGGGAGGACTCCGCCGCCGCCGCCGCCGCCGCGCCGGCGCAGGGCCAGGTGGTGGCCGCATCCGCGTTCGCGGCGTGAGGAGGAGAGGAGAGAGAGAGAGGAAAAGGTTTTTACTTTCTTTTTTTTAGGACGAAAATACGACCATTGCTTTAAGAGGACCAGAAATATGCCCGTAGCTTTAAGAGGAAGAAAAAATGTCCGTTGCAACGGATTAATTAGAAACTACGGAGTACTAAATATTTAGCCGCTTAACAAATTTAGGCGTTGTTTAGTTTGCGAAAAGAAAATTTTTGGGTGTCACATCGGACGTTTGACCCGATTTCAGAAGGGGTTTTCGGGCACGAATAAAAAAACTAATTTCATAACTCGCCTGGAAACCGCGAGACGAATCTTTTGAGCCTAATTAATCCGTCATTAGTACATGTGGGTTACTGTAGTACTTATAGCTAATCATGAACTAATTAGTCTAAAAAGATTCGTCTCGTGATTTCCATGCAAACTGTGCAATTAGTTTTTTTCTTTTATTAATATTTAATGCTTCATGCATGTGTCCCAAGATTCAATGTAACGTTTTTGGAAAAAAAAAAAAAGAACTAAACCGGGCCTTAGGATGTTTGTCCCAATTGTCCCTCCCATAGTCCTTTTTCGGTCATATCTGTGCGATAAGTGTAGAGGGACGGGGTAGCCCAGTCTGGACCATTCTGAAATTCCCAACTTAAGCATGAAGGTGAAAAAACTTTAATTTGTCAGTAAATTGGACCCTAATCCATTCAAATAAAATCATTAGATAGAACCACGGGATTTCACCACAAAGACATCGATAAATTGAAGCTCAAATTGTGCAGGAGGAGTGCGAGTGACAAGAGTGTACGATAACTTATGTCGAGACAACTTCGACCATGTAGAACTTGACCGCCATCGCTACGGGTGGGCATTCGGTCTAACCGAAAATTTCGGTCTCGGTCTTTGATCTTTCGATCTTTTCGGTCTTTGAAAAATAAAGACCGAATTTCAGTGAAAAAATATCAAGACCAACAAATTCGGTCTCGGTCCTGACCGAAATTCAACAACATTTTCATATATGCAAAGAAATAATGGAAATTTTCAACACAAAAATCACAAAAAAAATTCGTAAGCACTTTATGAGTAAAGACTCTTATTAGGTTGCATGCCTAGAAGAAGTAGGGATGTGAAAATTAGAGTTTAATCCTATTAAACATAGTGGATTGTAGGTTGTTTTTAGATAATTTTTGATAATTCGGTCTATTCGGTTACCCGAGGAGACTAACCGAATTGACCGAACAAAATTCAGTCTTTCACTACCTAGGACCGAATTGATGACCGAATTTCTCGGTCTCGGTCTCGGTCTTTTCGGTTCGGTCTTTTTCTGCCCACCCCTAGCCATCGCAACTGCAGATTGCAGTATTTCGCTTGGTTATCCTTCTCACACGCCGCCGCTATCGCATGCCCCATGGCAGTCGTGCTAGCAGCACCATCACCAGTGAGGTGTGCCGCACGGATCTCCTAGGCCACTTAACGTGGGCGTTGTAAGTGGACATGCGGGGGAACTGATTGAGCAGGGCTGTGGTTTGCGAGGGACTCGAGTGGTGTTTGATACTAATGAAAATGAATATTAAGTAAGGCATGAAAAACAAAAAGCTATTAGCATATGATTAATTAAGTTTTAATTATTGCAAATTTGGAAATTGAATTTATTTGATATTTTATAGCAACTTTTATATAGAAAATATTCACACGAAACATGCCATTTAGCTGTTTAAAAAGTGTGCTAATGGAAACCGAGGTAAAATATGTATCTTAATGAAAAAGAACCGGGCGTCGCTGTGTCAATGTGTTATCCTGATATATATTGTCATGGATTGATCGAGTATTCAATCAAGTTTCCTATGTATTTTGTTACCGTCACTACAATAGAAACCATTTTTCATAGCACCACCCTTTTATTTGTACTGGCGGATTTAATAAATGCACGCTTGTAAAGATACTTAAGAGGGATTGCGGACACCAACCGCCAGCAAAAATCGATTTTCGTTGGCGGCCACTTAAGATATTTTTACAAGCGGATCTCTTAAGCGACTGCCAGCGCTGGCGGTCACTAAAGAGCACCGCCTTTAAAATCCACCGCCTCATAAAAAAAATCAGTCACAGTGCATTAAAAAACCACGCACAGCAAAAATCCTCAGATCCACTCCACATTCTCCTCTCCTCAGATCGACACCTCTCCTCTTCTCCTTCCTCACCGGCGCACCACCGCCTTACTCCTCTCCTCCTCCGATCCCTCCCAACCGGCGGCGGGTCCAGCAGCAGCGGCTTCGGTGGCAGCAAAGAGGAGGGGTGGTGGCGGTGACCGGCGGCAGCAACTCCCGCGCGTGAGTAACAGATCTGGTGGTGGCGGACGGGCTCGGCAGAGTGGGGTGGCGTAGGGGAGCCTAGCTCCTCCCCTCTCCATTTCCGGAGTGGGGTGACAAAGGGGAGTATCGTCTCTCCGGGCTCAGCAGTGACGATTGGCGGCGGCAAAGGGGATGGGGTGGCCGTGGCGACTCGGGCAGGATACGGACCAGCGGTGGGGACTCCTGCGGGTGACTGATCCGGTGGCAACAGCCGAGCTCGGGAGAGTGAGGTGGCGCAGGGAAGTCTAGCTCATCTCCTCTCTAGATCTATAGTGGGTGGCACAGGGGAACCTCCCCTCTTCAGGGTCGACGGCGGCGACCAACAGTGGCAAGAGAGCCGCCGTGGTGGGGTTCGTCAATGGGCAGTGCATGCGGCCGTGGCGACTAGCGGCGCTGATTTTTAATTTTTTTTAACCCTAAAAAATGTTTTCACTGGCGGTCATCTTTAACTTGCCGCTGGCGAAGATGGTATTTTTGCTAGTGGTTGTCTTAACATGTCGCCAGTTAAACTCGATTTTCCCTGGCGGCTGGCTGACCGGTAGTGAAAATGTATTATTTTCACTGGCTTTTAGTTCGCTGGCGGCACTGTCGGCTGCCAGCAAAAATCTATTTTAGTCACCCGTTTTCATTTTTAACAAGAAAAAAAATCCGTAATCTCAATTAACCCGTGGTAATCGGAAAACCGGATCGATAAATACCAGCTCATTGGATGATCGATAAATCAGTTATCAGTGGAGAGCTCGATATTCGGAGGGGTTGGCAGCGATGCGATGAGGGCAGGATACATCGTTGATTTGGCGTCCACAGCGAGTCGGAAGCGACGGCGTGATCCACATCGGCCTGCTGTCTTCTGCCCTGCCGGCGTCGCAGGACCACGAAACGGCATCGTCTGGCTCCGCTCGACAGAACGAGTATAGGTCTAGGTATTTAGCGATGCGCTGATCTACTCCCTTTCCGCTCGACAGAATGAGTATAGATCTAGGTGTTTAGCGATGCGCTGATCTACTCCCTTTCTCCAGTTGATGCCGGCCGCAAGGATTAAAACGTCTCGATCTTAGCAGCTTTGTTATTTAGTTTCACCGTCAGTCTCCAGTTGATGCCGCAAGGATTAAAACGTCTCGATCTTAGCAGCTTTGTTATTTAATTTCACCATCAGCTGTGATTTGATTTCATATATGTCAAGCCAAGGCAGCCGTGGCGGCCTACCGCTACCACCAGATCTCCTGGATGGTGGTGTGTACTGTTTTTAGTTTATACATGAAATTCTGAATCACATATCCACACTCAGATGAGTATACACTATTTCTTATTCATCTTTCTTTTAATCTCTCTACGTACGTATTATTTGTCTCTAATATATATGTATTATTTGTCTCTAATATCACCGTATTCTTCCACCTAAATTTTCAAGGCGGCAGTATTGTCTCTAACATTACTTGTGGGCTCTTGAGATTTTAATTGAATTAAATTGGGCCTAGCCCATTTATTCTAATAATCCCCACCAAATTTCATGGCTCACAAGAAATGTTCTTAAAACTGAACCTATTTGTTATACCATTGTTTCGGTGGAGACTGTTAAGTTAAACTTCCACCTAGGAAAAGAGCTACACCAGATCACAACTGAACAATGGACTATACATTGAATTGTCAGTTTTGTGCGATCAGGTTTCACTCGAACTCTTAACTGGTACTAGGCTGCCGTTTACATCCCCTTTGTTTGGAGCATATAAATCATATTCCAAGCCTTTTCATGAGTATATAAAGATCAACTAGATCTCATAGACTGTGACTAGCAGTTAGACTTATATAGGTATGTTCCTTCTAAGATGTTCTGTAGGTATCTCTGCTTTACGAAAAGCCACTCAAATCACATTGAGGTATATACCATCCTTCCATACAGAATAGGAGAGAAGTACATCATAGAGATGAGCCCATTTCAGGGTCTCTCCTCTCAGTCACCCAATAGTTTCTTTCTCCATCCTAATTCACGGGATCTCCAATCACAAAGGACAGGTTACCACTATTGGGCAACTCAAGTGGGTCTCAAACCCATCTCCCTCGATGCACTGTCTATCGCATTACGTGATAGTCCCTTAGTGAACTGATCTGCTAGATTTTTAGCTGTCTTGACATAGTCCAATGCTATCACTCTGGAGTTTTTCTGCTTTCTGACAAACTTCAGTTTTCTTTGTACATGCCTGGATGACTTCATGTTGTCCTTCGAATTGTTTACTTTAATAATTACTGTTTGATTATCACAGTTCATCAGGATTGCTGGTACTAGTTTTTCAACCACCGACAAGTCCATCAGGATCTAACGAAGCCACTCGGCCTCAACTGTTGCAGTATCTAAAGCTGTGAGTTCTACTTTCATTGTTGACCTCGTTAAGATCGTCTGCTTTCAAGACTTCCAGAAAACAGCGCCATATCCAAGTGTGAATACATATCCACTTGTGGCCTTTATCTTATTAGTATCAGATATCCAGTTTGAATCACTATAGTCCTCCAGTACTTTTGGGTACCCAGTGTAGTGATCCGACGTCACCGTCGACGGTGCGAACATCATGATGTTCCTCCTCCACGCCTTCATAGCGGAGCCGCTCCACTGCGCACTCCTCCAACACTAGCTCTCCGCGTCGATGGCCTCACCGGTGCCGTCTCCCACGTCGTCGTCCACCACCCACACCCACAGGAGCCTGGACTGTGCAACCTAGCAACCGGGAAGGCCCGACGCTGGATCAAGTTCTGGACAGACAAGGAGAAGAGAAGGGAGAGGGGAGAGAAAGAAAGTGATAGCTAATGACATATGGGGTCCACATGGGTCTCGTAGTGACTCAGCTTGCCAAGACACCTAAAATCGGTCACAATACTGCCTAGGACATCGGGTGATCTGATTTTGTAAATTGAGGGACTTCTTATATCTGGTAATTCGGTTTAGAAATGAATTTTGGAAGAAGCTAGGGAAAATTTTGGTGAAAATTCCCTACATACCCCTGAAAAGTTTCATAATCTCTTCTATACCCCTAAATTTTGTCTCAAAACTCTATATGCCCTTGAGTTTTTATTTTGATCTCTTCTATCCCTATTCCGTTAGTTGACTGTTAGATTTTTCTAAAATGATCATGTCGCCCATTTCCCATACTTACATGCTATCTACTCCATAATTCACAATGTGAAAAAATTGTAATTCATGATAAAATCAAATGGGGCATAATTATTTTTTTTGTAAAATATGTAAAAGAAAATTTAAATTGTTGAACATTTTTTTACAAATCCATATGAGTTTTAGCTAGAAATTATGAACCAAAATTATTTATTTATTAGATTCAAATTTTGATGAAAACAGTGTACCAGTTTCATAAAAGTTAATTTAAATTTATTTAAAATTTTAGATTTGTTTTTAAAATTTATTGTCAAATAATTATATTCCCTTTGTTTTTTTACAAATAGATCTTTTTCATATAAGAATTGTGTTTTTATCACTAAACTAGCACATAAGTATAAGAGAGAGATAATATAGTCAATTTCAAAAACATTTAACGAAATGGATATAGAGAAGATCAAAGTAAGAACTTAGGGGTATATAAGGAACGGGACAAGATTTATGGGCACACAAGGGGAACGGGATAAAATTTATGGGCACGTAAGGGGATTAAACGAATTTTCGAGGGTACAGGAGATTTTCTCAAAATTTTGTGGGGTCAAGGTCGTCTCCGCTGCAATGGCGGTCAAGCCATGAAGGCGGCGAGAAAGACCGCCATGCCGTGCGCGACGGTGCCAGCCCGAGAAAAATCAACTGACGAAGCGACGACGATTCCTTCGAAAATGTAGCACGAGAGGTTCGGAGATCATATCCACAGTCAGATTCCAACCGAGACCAACTGCAGCCGTGCAGGCCGGTGCTGATATCCTCATAACCTTTTTAATATAGCTGCTACTGGTAGCTTTTTAAAAGCTTTATCCTGTACTAAGTATTTCTTGCTTTACCACTGTGCAGGTAGCTCGCCATGCTCGTAGCTTTGTTTGCGGCGTTAGTACTCCTCTGCTACTCAGCCGGCAACATCCACTGCGTCGTGGCGGTCCATGGAAACGACTCCGACATGCTCGCGCTGCTCGAGTTCAAGGATGCCATCGGCGACGATCCGGCGGGCGTCCTGAGCTCCTGGAACAAAACCACCCCTTTCTGCCGGTGGAATGGCGTGAAATGCGGCCGCCGGGAGCATCGCGTCACGGCGCTCGAGCTCGCCGGCCAGAACTTGACCGGTCGACTCGCCGCCGCTTCTCTCGGGAATCTGAGTTACCTTCACCTGCTTGACCTTTCTGGTAATCGCTTCTCTGGGCAGATACCTCGCCTGAACAGTCTCCGAAAATTGCAAGTCCTCAACCTGAGTAACAATATTTTGGACGGGATCATTCCGGACACGCTTACAAACTGTTCCAGTTTGACGCAGCTAGATTTGAGCATAAACTTATTTCAAGGCCAGATTCCCCTCGGCATAGGACTCCTCTCTGAGCTGTCGGATCTCGTGCTTTCTCGTAATTATCTCTCGGGGCACATTCCTTCTGAGCTCGGGAAGTTGTCGAAATTGTCGTCGTTGGACCTGAGTGTAAATATCATATCAGGTGAAATTCCACGCGCCCTTTATAATCTCTCTTCTCTTCGAATGCTATTCTTGGAGATGAATTTTCTGGGGAAATCGTTGCCGTCAAACATTGGCTATGCCCTTCCTAATCTCCAATGGCTCTTATTGGGTGTTAACATGTTTCAAGGTAACATACCAGGATCCCTTGGCAACATTTCACAGCTACATTTGATATATCTGTCAGAGAACAATTTCTCTGGGCAAATTCCTAGCTCTCTCGGTAAGCTTTCGAACCTGTCTGTCAACCTTCAGTACCTGCTTTTGGACGGAAACAATCTATCAGGACACATACCGTCCAACATGGGAAATCTTCAACAACTCACACAGCTGGACCTTAGTTACAATAATCTAAAAGGCAAGATGCCACCCAGCTTGGGAAATCTTCAGCGGCTAGTGAGCTTTAATCTCAGTAACAACAATCTTCAAGGTGATATACCATCCAAGTTTGGAGATCTTCAACAGCTCGTATGGCTGAACCTCGGCAACAACTACCTCCATGGTGAAGTACCATCTAGCGTGGCAAATCTTCAACAGCTCGTCCTGTTGGACCTCAGTCACAATAATCTCAGTGGCAAAGTACCTCGCAGCTTGGGAAACCTTCCTAAGCTCAGGCAGCTGGACCTTAGCCACAATAATTTTGGTGGCAAAATACCATCCAGTCTGGCAAACCTTCGTCAACTCAGTCGCTTGGACCTTAGTTATAACAGTCTCAAAGGTTTCTATGCTTAACATGCCATTAGTGCGTGACCAGTACGTTCATATACCTTTTATGCCCACTTATCAGTTATCGCTGTACTATCTCTCTTTAGGCCCAAGGGTACGTGTCAACGTGTGTCTTGGTGTCTCAAGGGCACTCTAGTCTTTTACATTCTCTCTCTTTTTTTAATGTCTTTTCCCATTCTCTTGTTCTCAATTTATTGCCCTATAGGCTTAAATCAACTGATTGATACCCAACGTTTTGTTGTAGAATAGGTGGGTAAATACATGTTATACATTATGAAAATAATAGATATATATATATATATATATATATATGTTTGAATAATGTGAAAAAGATGTGGAGATAATGATTTGATATGGCTTGCATATTGAGTTCTAAAATTACAACAAAATGCAAATGATATGTTATGTTTGCATGATATTTAACTACTCTAAATAATAATTGCCCGGGCACCATGGTATGAAATACACAAATTCGTCCAAATTTTTCAAAATTTTCAAATTGTGAGTATATACCTAGTTATAAGTTTTCTATTCATACATATACCTAGCAACAAAACAACTCAAATTTAACTTTATTTTACAATCCAATATTACATACCTAACTAATTATATGTTTAGATGCTATATACCTAGAATCAAAATCTAACAAAAACATGTTTAAATTTAGTTCAAACTTGTTTTGAACTAGTTAGTAAAGTAGTTAATGTTAACACCTAAACATTTAAAAAAATTTCATACTCATTTGAATTGAGTATATACGCAATTTGAATCATGGAGCCCGCGCACCATGGAGCTCCAAACAAATTTAATGAAGGGGATCCATTAACCAACCAGTCCACGTAATGGTTTATTGAATTAAACAATTAACAAATAAATAACTAAATACTAGATTATGGCTTGACTATCGGCAGCACACAAACGAACGTACGGAGCAGAAATCGAACGTACCAACCTTCTGCTCCGTTTTAATCTAGGTTTTTTTTTTCTTACACATGCATGTGCATTTAAAAACCGAGCAGAAGGTCTTGACGAGTTTCTGTCGAGAAGAGTTTTTGCTTTTTGTTATATTCTGCATATTTTTGTTAGCGTTGCAGATTGTTATATTAAGCCGATTGATGTTCTGATCTATTTCGAAAACGATGTTCTGCTTCCTTCCTAACTGATGTTGTTCTCCTTGTGTGCTGCACATGCCGTTCATAACCATGCGTGCAACGACTGGCCGCAAAACTAGCAATGAGTAAAACTACAACGAGCAGAAAATTTTCTGCCTTCTTAACGTCTTCTGCTTAGTGATGATTTTGTTGGAGGAGCAGAAGATGTTCTGCTTCTGTTCAAATTATTTTTCTGCTCCCTTTCTAATCGATGTTCTGCTCCTTTCCCGGGTCACATACTCACATACTGCCTGCCTCCTTTCCTGTTTCTGCTCATTTTCAAGTTTTATAAGCTTCATATAGACGATGAGATTCAGTTTAACAGGCAGAAGGTATTCTGCACTTTGTATTCCTTGCTCTATATTCTACGTTCTTACAAATTGTAAATGACCTGAATGGACTTATGGACACAACAGATTAGAAGTCACGAATTATGGGTTGGGGAGGAAAAGATGTTCTGCCATTGTTTCTTCCTAGTCGTATGTCTAATAGTGAATGGAATCAGTTTGTGAAAGAGCAGAAGATATTCTGTTATCCTACTATCCATTGATTCAGGAGCGGGATTATAGCTTTCTGCTGCACAAATTCTGTTCTGCCGTAAATTCTGTGCAGAAGAGTTTCATCCCTTACCTCGGCTGTGTGTTGTACATTTATACAAGCAGAAACTATCCCGAGCAGAAATTCAGATATGCAAAATATGAAATACGTTTTATTTAAGTACGTACACATAATAAACTACAATTAGTAATCAATAGGCATAATATGTACTGCCGTTACATAGAGAAAATTTTAGTATTTGTTGTGCCAACATTTATTTTCCCGATGATGTTCTGCCATTTTTTTTCCTGATGTTCTGCCATTTTTTTCAATTGGCGGGCTATATATCTTTTGCCTATCAGAAGCAGAGCATATTCTGCCAAGGCGAGCACGCGTGAGGAAGAAACTCCATCCGAATGTTGATTTGCATGCAGCCGATGATTTAGCACTTATCTGAACTAATAAATCATTTAGTTAATTACTTAATTAAACAGCTCGGTCTGTTATTCCACTAACCCGATCCGCTAAGGGATAGGAGTAACTACTGGGGACACCTAATAGGCGGGTGATCGCTCTCCCTCTCCCGGCCCTCCCCTTACTCCAATGCTCCCTCCTCTCCCCCCTTCCTCCTCCCCTTTTTCTCTTCCTACTACACCATAAATATGTAAATTTAATATTTGACTTATAAACTTTGGGTCTATAAACTAATATTTGAATTCAAATTCAAATTTGAATCGGGTATGTAAACTTTTGACTTATAAACTTTGGGTCTATAAACTTTAGGTGTATAAACTTTAGATATATAGAAATACTATATATAGAAAATATTTGAATTCAAATTCAAATTTGAATCGGGTATATAAACTTTAGGTCTATAAACTTTATGTCTATAAACTTTAGGTGTATAAACTTTAGATGTATAGAAATACTATATATGAAAAATATTTGAATTCAAATTCAAATTTGAATCGGATATATAAACTTTAGGTCTATAAAATTTAGGTGTATAAACTTTAGGTGTATAAACTTTAGATGTATAGAAATACTATATATAAAAAAAATATTTGAATTCAAATTTAAATTTAAATAGGATATTTGAATTCAAATTCAAATTTGAATCGGATATATTTCAAATTCAAATTTGAATCGGGTATATAAACTTTTGAGTTATAAACTTTGGGTCTATAAACTTTAGATGTATAGAAATACTATATATATAAAAATATTTGAATTCAAATTTAAATTTAAATCGGATATATAAACTTTTAATTTATAAACTTTGAATCTCTAAACTTTAGATGTGTAAACTTAAGGTGTATAAACTTTAGGTGCATAAATTTATTAAAATAGGAAAGTAATGCGGTGCCAAAAAAGAAAACCAGGTGGAGGGGAGAAAATCTAATCTGATCGCTGCTAGCTACCCCTAGCGATCAATCGCTAGCTAGCATTTCCGGTAACTACTCCCGGTAGTAGGAAAATTATATACTACTACCGGGAGTAGCTACTCCCTCCCTATGCGCCCTCAATTCGATCGCTACTAATGCCAATGACTGTTACCGGGTCTAATGAATCGAATACTCCCTCCAGCTTTTATTTTTCTCGGTGGTCAACAGAAGGTCGTTTATCTTCTACAGTAGATCCAACAATTGAACGAAGCCTCCCGAGTTTGTTGTAGATATGAAATTTGAAACTTGTGTTTGTTTATCCAAAGTGAGAAAGCAGGATATTTTTTCCGTCGTTAAGGAAGAGCAGAACATTATCGATCTAAAATTGTTCTCTGCGTTTGGAGGGTTCATAACCCAACTGAAGTCAGATTTGTAGCCTCGCCGGCGGCTGTGTTGCAGATAACGGTGAAAGCCCTGGCATGGAGGATTCCAGTTCCAAGGTTTGTTATCATATTCATCTGTTATTTTTTTCATCTTTTGGATTCTTTTCCTGATCTCGATTCCTTTCTTGATCGTTTCTGCTCCTAATTCGCTTTCTTTATGTTTTGCATTTGCAGCAACTTTGCAGTCCTGCAGCAGGTGCAAATGTATCAGGTGGTGGTGGCTCTAGTTCTGTTTTCACCAGAAACTATCATGCTGGTGTAAATGTAATTAGGCGATAAGAAATTAAGAAGTCATGTTCTGCTCCCAGTTCTGCTGCTGTACGCCATGTTCTGCTACATCTCTACCAAATCTGCAACATGTTCTGCTCCTCAGAAATCAGATAGCAGATCATGCTCTGCTCCAAATCAGTGCATGTCCATCTCTAAACCCAAAAAAAGAAGTGATGTTCTGCTCCCAGTTCTGCCGTGTGCCATGATCTGCTACATCTCTAAACCCAAATACAAGCACAAGCAGAAACTACGATCCATGTTCTGCTACAAGCGCAGAAGAAGCAGGAATGTTCTGCTCTCGTTTCTGCACGGGCCTTGCTCTAGTAGTAGATTAAATCGTTTGAAGGACCAGAAGCTATTCTATTACATATCCATAGTTTAAGGAACGGGAGATTAGCTTCTGCTGCATGCGCATGCATACTTCTCTGATGCAGATTAGTTTCTGCCATTTTTTTTAGTTGATGCTCTGCCAATTTTTTAGTTGATGCGCATACATAATCTTCTGCTGGCTAGTAGCAGAAAATCAATTTGAAAAGAGCAGAACATCAACAATTTCATGTGCCGCCAAACAGCTGATGTTCTGCGTCCTTTCAAACAGAATTTCTGCTCGATCTTCTGCTCTCTTTCCAGTTCTATTCTGCTCCTAATTGGATGAGCAGGATATCTTCTGTCCGCTTAAATTTTTTTTCATATGAGCAGAATATCTTCTGTCCGCGTTTTTTTTTTCCATGTTCTGCTCCTTTCCCGATTCACATTATGTTCTGCCAACGATATTTTCAAAACAGTTATGTTCTGCCATTTTTTTAGCTGACGTTCTACCGGTTTTTAAAATTGGTTTGCATGCAACCGATGATTTAGAAATTATTTGAACTAACTACAAGCTAATATTTTGTGCAAATATTATCGGATTATGGGTTATTCCACTAACCCGATCCAATAAGCGGAGGGAGTAACTACTCCCGATAGTAGCAAATAGGTGTCATATATATATATATATATATATATATATATATATATATATATATATATATATATATATATATATATATATATATATATAGACTTTAGAAATAGTTGAAATTCAGAATTACAAAATAAGGAATATTGGAAGAGGAGACTAAAGTCCATATCGAAATACAATTAAGAAATAATAGAAATTCAAAATTAAAAATAAGGAATATTAGAAGTAGAGTATAGAGTCCATATTGGAATTTAAAACTAACTAAAATTTGGAATAAACATAATAAAATTAAAAGTAGAGTTTAGAGTTCGTATAAAAATACAATTTACAAATAACTAAAATTTGAAATTTAAAAAAACATGGGAAGAAGAATCTAAAGTCAATACAGGAATACAATTTAGAAGTAACTGAAATTCGAAATTAAAAATTAAAGAATATTAAAAGATGAGTTTAGAATCTATATAGAAATACAATTAGAAATAATAAAAATTCAGAATTAAAAAAAATAATATTTGAAGAGAGCCTAGAGCCTATATAGAAATAAAGATAACGAAAATTTGGAATTAAAAAAAAAG